TATTTTGCCATGTCCCATTGTTCATGGGTGGGGGAGAGAGCTGGTGACTTTTCCCCTCTGAGCTACCTTGGCCCACGGCATGGCTGACGGTTTTGCTCTGTGGCCATCACCACAGAGCAATGCCAGTGGCACCCAAATCTTGTCCACAGTGGGGTGTGAGAGTCAGGGGTGTGGGTCTGCCCACCTACCATGATCCCTTCTAACCCAGAGTCCATGTTATTTCCGAATTCTTTGTTGCTCCTGGCTTCTGTTGGTGACCTGCTTCCAACTCGTGGCTGTGGCTGGAATCCGTGGTTGACTGACCCCATCCGTGGCTGTGGATTCTGCTGGGGGTGATGATCCCGCGGGTGTCTACGGCTCCTCCCCACCACAGTCCCTCGTCCAGTCCCGGAAAGCGGGCATTACCTCTGCCTTGGCCTCCAGCACGTTGAACAACGAGGAGCTGGTACGTGAGCGCCTCCCTGGCCCTGGGTGGGATGGACTGGGCTAGGGGCTCCCGGGAGTGGCGCAGCCCCCTGGACCTGCGGGGAGAGGTGGGGCAGGTGGGCGAGGACGTGGGCATGCCTCGCTATGGGGAATCGGACAACGCAGCTTCCCAGGTGAACCTCTGGCAGCGCGAGACTGGGGTTTCTTTGCGCCCCCTGTGAGGCAGCTGCGCCCATGGCCGTGCCCACTCCCCGCAGAAAAACCACGTTTACAAGAAGACCCTGCAAGCCTTAATCTACCCCATCTCGTGCACGACACCGCACAACTTCGAGGTGTGGACGGCCACCACGCCCACCTACTGCTACGAGTGTGAGGGGCTGCTGTGGGGCATCGCGCGGCAGGGCATGCGCTGCACGGAGTGCGGCGTCAAGTGCCATGAGAAGTGCCAGGACCTGCTCAACGCCGACTGCCTGCAGCGTGAGGGCGGGGACAGGGGCGGCGCGGGGCGGGGCGGGGACAGAGAAGGGGGCGGGGCTCCATGCAAGACAGGGGCTGTGACAAGGGAGGGGCTTGAGGAGGCGGAGCCAGAGGGGCGGGCTTTTGCGGGGCAAGACTGTGAGGGGCGGGGTTCTGCAGGGATAGGGCAAGCACAGGAGCGTTTGGGACTTAGGGGCGGGGCTCGGGTGGGGCTCCATGCTGGGCTGGGCTTAGCGGCCGAGCTCTCTGTGGGGCAAGGTGGGGACAGAGGAGCGGGGCTCTGCAGGGGTGAATTGAGGACAAAGGTGCTGGATTCTGCCGGGTGGGAACAGGGGAGGGGCAGAGGGGCGGGGACAGAGGGGCGGGCCTGAGATAGGGGCGTTTCTCGAGATGGGGCTAAAAGCGTGGCGAGACGGGAGGGCTTGGAGAAAGAGGGCTGGGGCTGGGGCTGGGCCTGTGGGCTGCGCGGTGAAAGGAGGAGCAAGAGTCCTTGGGAGATGCTAGGGGACGAGGGGAGGAGAAGGGAGAGGGGAGGGGTTCTGATAGAAGCGGGGCGGGGCTCAGGGACGAGTAAGACCTTCTAGGGGCGGGGTTAATGAGAAAAGAGGGTTCCCTGGAGGAGATTGGGTTAGAGTTAGCTCCTAGAGGGGAGGGGGCTCAGAGTGGGAGGGGACTCAGAGGGGGCAGGGGCTCAGGCAGGGAGAAGGCCAGTACCGGTGGGGCGGGAGCTATGAAATGCGTTGGGCGCTCGAAGCAGATGTCTCCGGGCGATGGCAGCCCTAGCTTATCAGGGGTGACCCACCTGAAGCCCCACAGGTTAAAGTGTCACCGCAGCTCCTAGTGCGGTCCCATCGGGCACCGAAGAAGCGCTGGGTGGGGACAGGCCCAGTGACTAGCCTGGTACGATCTCGCAGGGGCCGCGGAGAAGAGCTCGAAGCACGGGGCGGAGGACCGCACGCAGAACATCATCATGGTGCTCAAGGACCGCATGAAGATCCGGGAGCGCAACAAGCCCGAGATCTTCGAGCTCATTCAGGAGATCTTCGCCGTGACCAAGACGGCGCACACGCAGCAGATGAAGGCGGTCAAGCAGAGCGTGCTGGACGGGACGTCCAAATGGTCGGCCAAGATCAGCATCACCGGTGAGGCCAGGGGCTGCCACGGTCGGCCCAGCGTTCTCGCTCCTCCCCTGCGTTGCATGAGCTTGGACGTGTCCATGTATATCCATGTCCACGAATGGGCGTTCGTCCTCGTGGGGTGAACCCTTATGCCTCTACGGATGTGTTCTGGTTGGTGCCCCCGGAACCAGGCTCCAAGGAGAGGATATGAGCAATAAACGCTGTTTATCGGAGGGATGACCCAAGAAAGCCCCAGTTGGGTGGGAGTGGAGAACTGAGACAGGGAGGGAAGTAGCCCTCCAGGGGGAGCCAAAGAGCAGATGATGCTGTGGGCAGTTGGAGCTCAGTGTGGCTAGGGAGGGAGCCCTGGTGGTGCAGTGGTTAAGCGCTCGACTGCTAACTGGAAGGTCGGCGGTCAGGACACTCCGCAGGAGAAGTGACAGTCTTCTTCCGTAAAGATTACAGCCTTGGAAACACTATGGGGGCAGTTCTACTCTGTCCTATAGGGTCGCTATGAGTTGGAATCGACTGGTCGGTGGTAGGCTTGGTTTTGGGGTTTCTGGTGGCTAGGGACTTCAGGGAGACAGTGCGGAGCACACACCTCAGAGTGATCTCCACCCAGGAGCGAGGGGGCTGGGGTGTCTTCCCATCTTTCATCACCGATGAGCTCCCCTGGTGTTAACTCTTCTAGAACAAAGCCCACAGGCAGGGTCTCACGTGTCCCCATTGAGCAGTGTGTGACTGACTGTCAGGAAGATGCCACCCGCGGCTTGCCTTGTCTGTGAGTGCACATTTGTGTATTTGTCTTTTGTGTGTCTTCCAGTGGTCTGTGCCCAGGGCTTGCAGGCAAAGGACAAGACAGGTTCCAGTGACCCCTATGTCACTGTCCAGGTCGGGAAGACCAAGAAACGGACAAAAACCATCTACGGGAACCTGAACCCTGTGTGGGAGGAGAACTTCCATTTGTAAGTGCCTGGCTGTCCCCCTCCCCCCACCACGACCCTACATGGAGCACCCTGCTGGGACAGCACACGGGGCTGGAAGAGGCTCAAGTGGGCACCCCGCCCGGCTGACCCTGCCTCGTGCCCCTCCCATCCCCCCCGCAGTGAATGTCACAATTCCTCAGACCGCATCAAGGTGCGAGTCTGGGACGAGGATGATGACATCAAATCCCGTGTGAAGCAGCGGTTCAAGAGGGAGTCCGATGACTTCCTGGGGCAGACGATTATCGAGGTGCGGACACTCAGCGGCGAGATGGACGTGTGGTACAACCTGGGTGAGTGCGGGCAGGTCCTGCAGGGGTACAGGGAGGGGGCCCACAGAGCCAGCCAGGTGATAGAGACAGTCTTGGGAGGAATAGGGTCCAAAGAGCCCAATCTGATGGGGGAGGCAGGGCCTATGAGCCAGATCTGATGGGGGAGGCAGGGCCTGGGAGCTCAGTCTGAGGGAGAAGTGGGGCCGAGGGCTCCTAGTCTAAGGAGGGAGACACAGACCCAGGAACTTAATCTGAATGAGGAAGCAAAGGCTGGGATGCAGTTTACGAGAAACAGAGTCTAAGAAATTCTAGTCCAAGGAGTAGTCTCGATAAGCCTAGGGAGCCAACTCGAGGCGAGACACCAGGACTTAACTTCAGGGAGTCTGGGTGGGAGACAAGACACACACATACATTAAAATACCGGTACCAGTTGCCATTGAGTCAACTCTGACTTATGGTGATCCTGTGTGTCGGAGTAGAACTGTGCTCCTTAGGGTTTTCAATGGCTATGGTCTTTCAGAAGTAGATTTCTAAGGCTTTCTTCCAAGGTGCCTCTGGGTGGACTCGAACTCCAACCTTTTGGCTAGCAGCCAAGCGCATTCACCATTCACACCACCCAGGGACACATTAAAATAACCCAGGGCATATCAGGGAGTTCCGCCTTTCATACTGCCATCGTCTCTGCACTGCAGACAAGCGGACTGACAAGTCGGCCGTGTC